GGGGGAGAGGTGGCACACACCTTTAATTCCAGCACTCAGGAAGAAGGGGCCTCTGTGAGTTGGAGGCCAACCTGGTCTATAGAGTGAGTTCCAGGACAGCATGTGCTACACAGAAAAAATCCTGTCTTGAAAAAACAAAAATAGATAAATAAATAGTAAGAAAGTAAAAAGATAAATCATGAAGATAAAGCAACCCTAAATAAGGTGGGACCTCGACGTCACAGCGCGACGTGCTCCCCTGGGAAAGTTCAGAGGGGGCCGTGAGTACATCACAGGTTGGAGGACCACCCTGAGATTTCTAAGACCCCATCTCAAATAAACAAACATCATACAACAGCAACAATCACAAAGCGCACACATCATCTTAGGCCTGAAATAGTCCAAGAAAATATAATACAGAAACTTTTGAAATGAGGCCCAGTTGTTTTATTAGAAAGAAGCATGGTACAGAGATAATAGCAGCTGAAACCATATATATATATATATACAAACCACAAAAGCTCAGCAAGTAGAATTTATATATTTATACAAACTTTTGTATACCAATATATGTAACAGTAATAGTCAAAGAAAAAGAGACCATCAATTTGAGAGGTGGGGCACAGAAGACACTGGAGGGAGGGGACTTGGGAGGAGTTGAAGAAAGGAAAGTGATGTAATTATATTTTAATTCAAAATGTATTAATTTTTTAAAGAAAATATGGGGACTGGCCCATACAGGAAGGCTTATATACCTGCAGCTCCTGAAACACTTCTGTTGGAATAGAAAATTCCCATTTTGGCTGCATATTGTAATTGTGACTTACAAAACAAAAGAGAAAGACCAAAAATAAAGGAGACGAATGTTTAAGTTCTACACTAAAGCCTTCACAGACCTGTACAGCAGCTCCACTCAGTATCCCCAAACTAGAAATGGTCAGGATGGCTCTCAGACGTGAAGGGGGGGAAAAATAAACTGTGGCGCATGCGCACAAAGGGAGTTTACCCGTCTCTAACGAGAAATGAGCATAGGGAAACAGGTTTCAGAGCAGAGCGTTTCAACCTCACGACCTATTGGGAAAGATAAAGTCACTGAAGCAGGAAAAACGTGGGAGCTGTCCGGGATTGGGAGGAGACAAGAATAAATGGGCAAAGTTCGGGATTCCAGAACTGCGTGACTTCTCATTGTAATACCGTACCGGCGAAGCCACGTCCTTGTTTCTCAGAACCTAAGGAAAGCCAGGCACGGTGCTGCACACGCATCTGTAAGGCAAGCCTTGTGAGGTGAGGCAAGGAAATCAGAAGTCCAAAACATCCTTGGCTATTCCTGTAGGTTAAGACCAGCCCCCGTCTCAAAAAAAGAAAAGAAATGAAAGAAAGAGGGATGTTAGTATGGATTTTCCTGACAAGAACTTTTGCTGATACACTGATATTTGCTGATTAGGGGACACCTCTTGGGCACGCACGACATCGTAGGTGTCGGGCATAGAGGGAGGAGCGTGGGAACTGTGGAGGTTACCTGCTCAGTTCCTGTGAACCTAAAACTGTGCCCAGCTCAAAAAAAAAAAAATCTCAGCCCATTAGTTTAAAATTAACCCATCCGCAAATAATTTCTACATAAAGAAATTTCAAAGAAGCCATAGGCCTCTCTAGCTCTTTGGGAAACCGCATGAGTGAGCTCCTTTTTCAAAGGCGGCTGAGAAAACCCAGATGCCCCAAGTGTGAAGCAGCAGGCCTCGCCAAGGTGCAGACATCCTGGACCCGCTGACACCTATCTCAGACTCAACAAAACCCTTCTAATGGGGCTTAGGAGGCGGAGTGGGGGAGGGGAAGAGGCACCAAATTCTTACTCAGAGAATTAACAATTTGGAACACGCACAAGTGTGTCAACGAGCTATGTAGATCTTATCAGCACTGCGTTTTTGGTGCCTCCCAGCTATTCAGCCAGGCTCCACCAGCCTGTCAGCACCGGCAGTATCCCACGCCTGCGAGGGCCTATCAACACCTCTGGAGGCCCTCTGCTGGGGCCAGTCCTGCTTCGCCGGAGCCCACAGGAGCCCTGCTTTCCACCTCCTCTCAGGATCCTCTGAACTCTGAGCGTGAATGTATGCACCCCACTTTGTGGCTTAGTTGGCGCTCCAGGTCCACTAACTTTGAAAAGAAAGGTGAAGACAGAAAATCCAATGCCCTTGCATTTCAGGGAAAAGAATGTACATGGTTTCAGCCGTGTGAGGAGAAATTTGGCAAAGTCATCACGGTGGAAGCCTTTTAAGGAACTGTATTTGTAGATGGAACTTTGTGATCTTGCAGAGTTCTGAATAAGGAGAAGGGAGGACATGCCGCCGACTCCCATCCCCTGACAATGATCAGAGCACTGGGTGCACATGTACAAGGATGCACATGGACGTGCACACATGCACATGGATGTACATACATATGTATCCAGTGAACTTATTGTAATGGTTTAAGTAAAATGTTGCAGGTCCTCGGGTGGTGGCAGTGGGCAGTGGATCGTGAGACCATGCCACAGGTCACCAAGTGGGGCAGGCAGCCAGTAGAGGGTCCCGAGACCACGGTAGAAAGAGAAGAGGAGGAAGAGGAGAAGTGGGGAGAAGGAAGAGGCAGAAGCTGCCTCTTCAAGAGAGAGAGAGAGATGAAAAAAGGAAAAGACTCAGGCTGGAAGCAGAAGGAAGATGTGCCTGGGGGGTGGAGGGGTGGGCAGGGCTTGTCTCTTAAAGGGATAGGACAGACCATTACACTTATGCCTTGTTCTGCAATGATGAAAACTTTCAAATGTAATTTTGATTAAGAGCATATAAATAAAGCACTGTTGAAAAATGACAGTCTTGCCGGGTGGTGATGGCGCACACCTTTAACCCCAGCACTCGGGAGGCAGAGGCAGGTGGATCTCTGTGAGTTCGAGGCCAGCCTGGTCTACAGCGTGAGTTCCAGTGACGCCTTTGTGTCCTGGCTTTCTTGTGCAGTCACCTGTTCATTCTGTGAAAGTCAGTGAACGGTTCTGTTTGCTTTCACTTTCAGGCAGCTCTAAGTGCCTTGAAACAGTTTTCTGAACAAGGACTGGAATCAATTGAAGGGGCAGTGAACGCTGAAAAAGGCTCCCTTGAAAAGTGAGTAAAACCCTCGGTCGGTTTTTTTGCTCTTGTGGCTTCACGAAGGTGAGACACAGTAATTGCATGGCTAAAGACAAAGCCAGACAGTGATGGCGAAACTCTTCACACCTCAGTTAAACACAGAAGAATGAAAACCATGTACACAGTCCTAACCAACTCTTCTAAAATGTCTGCGGGCATTCTAGCCTGTGAGTTGGCCATCGTCTGCATTTCAAGGCGGTGGAGAGAAGCCCTGATCTTATTGACTGCAGGCAGCTGCACAGCTGGCAGAAGGCCGTTTCCACGGCATAGTGTCAAGCCTTCTCTCACCAACTCAGTTTTTGAGAAAAAAAATGGCATTCACATTTCTTCTAAGAACAACTGACAGAAAACAAAGCAGGATTGAAAGGAGTCCCCACCCCTCTTTTTCCCAGTTGGGTTTTTATTTGGTTGTATGGAACATTAACATACCCGGTCACAGAAACAGGGCTGCCAGGGACTACAGCAAACATACACGTAGAATCATTATTCCTGAAAGTCAGCTTATGGCTTTTTATGAGATTTGAACATAAGGTGCTATGGAAATGACTGACTTTGGAGTTTCTCTAGAGACTCAATTTTTACTAGCAAAATGAAAAGTCAATTATATTTACATAATAGAGCCCAAACACTTTCAAAGCCATAGTAAGAACTGGTGTGATCTCAGAATTCACACGAAAAGATGCCATCGGAATTAAAACACAGGATTTGGGAAGTAAAATGTGAATATGCTGCTCCTATAGTTAACTGAGCTTACAAAAGAGCGCAAAACAAAACAAAAAAAAACAGTATTTGGTCACTTATATTAAAAGGTAAAAAGAGAGTGAGAAGACAACATTTGGTAAACAGACATGGCATTTTAGGTTGTCTATAGATTGGCAACCATTTATAAGCTAATTTAATCAAAACCATTTCCACATGATCTCATCAGCAGACTATCTGAGCATAAATATTGTTGCTTCCCTTGAAAATGTCACTTTTGTGGTGACCTTTGCGTCCTGTATGCCATCTGCTAATAAACATGTCTGAAGACGTGCAGCTCCAGACCTCAGCTCTTGTTAACGTATTCATCTTTCAGACAAGCCAAGCACCTACGCGAGAAAGCCGACAATAACCAGGCGAACCCGGGCTCCATCACTCAGGACTGCAAGAAATCAAAGTCGGCCATCTAGCAGCTCCCAGAACCCACGGCTGCCACCGCGTCCTTATAAAGCTGTCAGCACGCATGAGGGTGTCTGTGTTCAAGGAAATGAATGACTAGTACCATTGTCTGAGTCTTGTGTATGTGAAGACAACACTATTGTAACGCAAGGACAGTGTACATGGTACTGTTTGTTCAACTGGGGGAGAACAAAACTCTGAGCATTTCCCTTGGAACTTGAGATCAGATCATAACTCCTTTGCCCAGAGGCAGCAGAGATCTGATCCCACTACCGGAGCTTAAAAATAACCATTAATGAAACGTGTAGGAAGCAAGGCTAAAGTCTTGAAATGATTCATAGCCAAGTCTGGGTTGGGTTCTGTCCTTGCGGTTGTTTTCTCGTGGCCATTGTGTCGTTATATTCTCTCGTTTGAAACAATGCTTGACAATTCAGAAAGTAACCAATGATGTGCTGTGGAATGTGATGGTTGTCTTCATATAGTCACACAGTTTCTCCTCTTATGCAGATATCTGTCATCTTCATCTTGCAAACACACGCGCGCACACATACACACACACGCATATATGAATTGCTTTAAGGTGCATTGCACAAAGATGGATGCAAATAACTGTGTTGAGATCGGATCAGATGATTGACTTAAAATATAAAATAATGCTAGGAACAAGTAGTTTCCATGTCTTTCAGAACTTTTAAAAAGACAAAATGAAACAAAACCAAGCGGATGTGGGTTTTGCGCTACGTGACGCCATGAGCCATCGAGGGGGCGTCTTGCCTCTGCACGTCTACCCTGTCGTGGAAATTGTGCCCACCCCCACCCGTGTGTTGTAGCCACTCACTGTTTGCACCGAGTGTCTTCAGTAACTGCCTCTGGACCCAGGACAGTGAGTAGGATCAAAATAAACACTGTACATGGTGGGGAAGGGAAAGCTTGCTGAAGCGTCTGGCTAACCACGCTCTGGACCAGCATGTCGGAATCCATCGTGGGGCAAATGCAGTAAAGATTTGGTTGGTTTCTGTATGAGCTGTTGTTCTTTCATTCCCTTCCTCCCGCCTTTTAAATGTCAGGGCTGTGAAACCTGTGGGGAAGGTCACCACCCAGCCTCGCTGTCCTGCCCAGCCGTGGAATTAGAACTGGCTGTTTCTATGAAACTCCTGGGTGACTGGGGCCTGACTGACGAGGGCCCGGTCCAGCCGGCCACTGTCATCGCATTGTTCAGGCTTTCTCCTTATTGATTTGCAAACATTGTGCAATGAGAAAACACTATATGGTCTGACTGCTTGGCCCAACCTGACAATAGGAGTAGAATTATGTAAGATTTCACAAGCAAAACCACTCCACATCATGATCTGGCTGACTCACACGCGACTGCAGGATAAACAAACAGCGCTATAAGGAAATAACTGCAGGGCTGCTGCTAATGGTTCCCATGTGGGGAAGTCTGCCGGCGCTGGGAGGGCTGGGTGCCCCTGGAGGAAATGGGCTTGGTTACATAAGGCTGGGTCCCAGTGAAAAAGAACAACACATCTGTAAAGTTGGGGATCTCACAAGCGTTTGTTTGGGCGCAGTTCTGCTGCCTAATAAGGACACGGAGGCCCCCTAACTCATTCCCTTGGCAGCAGGTAGGCCCTTGGTTTTGCCAGGACATTGTCCCTGCGGCTTCAGCACCTGGATGGGTGAGGGGCCGCATGAGGACTTCCTGCAGGGCCACGGAAGCGTGGTACCCCCTGCACAATAAACACTGCCGCCTTCTACAGAAGGTGAGCTGGGCAGGTCTGTGGGAAGGTGGCGAGCTCAAGGGGCACAGAAGTCCTCAGTTCTCACTGCCCAGGTATCTGAAGCATTTGGCCAGAGCAGTCTGACAAGGCGTCACCCCAGGCTGAATCATTACCAAGCCTACAGAGCGTCGTCAGTGATGATGGGAGACCGGACATTTGCATACGTTTTAATTCCTCATCCCAAATCCTGTGCCCTCTGCCTTCTGGAACTGCCCAGGAAGACGCTCTGCAGTGTGTTCCTGGGACAGTGGCGCTTCCTGTACATCTTTTGGTTTTTCTTTCTTTTCCTTTATTTTCCCCCGGTTGAATTACCAGGGCCCGCATTGGCAAGGCCCGCGGCAGTGCTTAGCTCCACCGCGCAATGTTATATATCATTAGAGGGGAAACCATTAAGTAGATTTATTGAGAGAATGTTTCTTCAGCACGAGGAGATCTTTTTGATGAAAAATGGAACTCATTATTCTTTAAAGGCCACAGATTGACTTATCTCCTTTATCAATTACGGTGTCTGCTTTCAGCTTGTCTCAATCAGCAGAGAGCTCTGGAGTCACTTCCTAGGGCCGAGGCCAATGTGCTGCCCGAAAAAGGTTTGTTTTCACATTTTAATTGGAAATATAATATTGAACTCTGGAACTCCGACTATCTTTTCCACTACCACTTGCCAAAGATCAATGGTGAGACACCACCCATCAGGCCATGACATACATTCCTCCCCTCTCCCAGGGTGACCCCTCTAGGAAGCCGTCTGGCATCCTTCTCACCAGTATACATTCTGAGTTATGATCCCCCATCCCCATCCCCCTGAAGTTTCAACCAATTTTGTGCACCATAGAGTGAAAGTGGATGGCTGAAAATTTTAATCTTGGGGCTCGGGAACGGCTCCTTCAGTAAAATGTCTGCTGCACATGTGTGAAGACCCGAGTTCTCATCCCCGGCACCCACGGAGAACCTGGGTAGAGCAGCATGCTTCTGGACCCACCCCACACACCTCACCCCACCCTCAGCACAGGGGACACAGAAATGGCAGATGGGTAAAGCTCTCGGCAGGACAGTGGAGCTCAATTACTGAGCTCTACGGTTCAGTGAAAGAATTTGTCTCAAAAAGATAAAGTGGACAGTGATATGACTCTGGCCTCCATGTGCAAATGCTTACATGTATACAGAGAGAGAGAGAGAGAGAGAGAGAGAGAGGCGCAGAGAGAGGCAGAGACACACATATACAGAGAGAGAGACAGACAGACAGACAGACAGACACATCTACACACACACACACACACA